GGGGCTGTGGTGAGGAGGCTCTCCATTGTGGATTGCAAACTGCAGTTAGTTCAAAGATCCTTGTGCCAAGTCAAAAGCAGTTTCTTTTATTTATGGTCACCATTGACGTTAATCGAGCCTGAACATTTTCCTGTAGACTAAAAAATCATTAGCCCTGACAACTGAAGTCAAATCAGACCTTTGGGAATGACCTAATTGTTCTTTCCCGAGGGCTGGATGTTGGCTTGCCCTTGGCCGTGGCATCAGCCCTGCCAGGCCTGGGAGGCCCCCCAGACTGTGGCAGGTGGGTTCCTTCTTGTCACAGAAAACACAAAGAAGGACAGAGGGGCTCGTTCTGTCACAGCCCTCCCTCGTCATCTGCAGTGCCTGCCGTCCTGAGAATTTTGTGAGTAAACGCAGCCCAGGGCCCTGCCGAAACTCCCGTTCACTGTTTTCCCATTTGACAGTGTGCCGCCTCCATGCTGGAAATTCCTCCCAGCTGCTGGTGGACGGGTGGGTCCGGTATCCCCCCTTCGTCCCCACTCCGTTTTTCTGGCAGCTGCTCAAATTTTCGGGATAGCTGTAGTGACAGTGGTGAACATAGGGACTCATTCCACCCTGGTTATTTTTGGCAGCCCTGAGCAAGCCAGGGCCTCGACTTCTGGAGCTGTGTGGTTGGGATATTAGGTAACTTTTTCCTGTGCAAGTACAGACAAAGAGTCCTGACCCGCACCCGTCCCTCCGTCCGTCCGTTCATCTGCCGTTTCCGAGTCGTTTTTGCTTGTTGTGAATCTTTGCAAATGCACCATGAACCCTCTCTCTGACATAGCCCTTTGTTCCTGATAAAAGATGGCTCTGGAGAAGGCTGAACGTTGATTGAGTGTATGTCGTTCTTTTTTTTCCCCCTAGATTGAAAACATAGATGCCTGCTTGAATTTCCTGGCAGCTAAGGGAATAAACATCCAGGGGCTGTCTGCAGAAGGTGAGTCAGAGCGCTGGTTCTAAAGCTGCCTTCTCATCGTTAGAAGCGCCCACCTGTTACTTAACTGATGCCTTGAATACAGCTCAGCCCAGGGGTGCTTGTGGGCTCTTCTGCTTTTGTTTTCCTGTTGGTTTTAAGGCAGCTCAATGCTTGTCTAGACCGGAGGATGCCAGCTTTTTGACACATCCCAAATCACTCCAGGAACGTAGAGCCCACCATGCTGGCCGTGTCTGCCACACCGAGCGGGTACCAGCGGTGGAGCTGCTTCTCTGGAGAAGGGCTTAATCAAACAATACTGATCCGATTCACCCGGCTAGCAATTCAGTTAATTATCAAGCCAGGCCTTATCTGTGGGAGAGAGAACACTTAGCCACAGCACATATTTAAGTTGTACAGTTCCCAGGGAAAAACGCCCAATCCTTATCTCTGACTTTTATTAGAAGCAGCAGCAGCACTTTTCCTAGCTCAAAGAAAACCAAACCCCAAACACGTGATGCGTTAATGAGATGCTACGTTTTGACATCCCGATTAGTTTTTAATTAACTCCAATTGGGTGGCTAATTAGCACATTAGCTTGTGCTGGTGGTTTGCTATTCAATTAGGTATCGGTCTGGAGATGGCTGGTCCGAATTCTCAGCCGCCTCAGGCAACATCTCGCCCTGGAATCTTTTGCTCTCTCCTGTTTGTAAATACAAGCAGCTGCCAGCTCAGAAGCTGCCACAGGCCCCGGCATCCTCCCAAACTCCTTAGGCTGCACCTGCCTCCAGTTTTCCCAGAACAGGTAAAGCAGTTTGGGCTTCAGATGACACCACCTTTTCCCTAGCAAGGTTGCTGTTTGAAAAGATGCCTGGTAGCATCGACTCCGGTGGTCAGGGTGGGGAGGGGGGCGGGCAGTGAGGAAGGAAGCAGCCCAGTGGAGCAGGTAAGTTTGCCAGCGTGATCTGTTTGGGGCCCGTTCCTTGTCTTTCTTTGCCCTGCGGTGCAAGCTTGGTTTTCCCGGCTGTTGGAACTGTAGCCTCTTCCGGTATTGGGGCCGGGTGGCTACTCTTGGAGCCTCGTGGGCTCGTCGTTTCTGAACGCGACCTCTCCTATGCTGGGCCTGCCCCAGGTCAGGGATGGACACACTCCTTCCAGAGGTCTCCATTGCTGCTGCTGGGTGGTCAGCCCCAACCCCAACTCTGGCAGGGGTGGGGTGGTTGGAGGGTTCCTTCTCCCTGGGGAATGAGCTCTCCTCTGTGGGGAGGAGCTCCGGGCTGAATGAGTCTGGGCTTCGCGACACAAGTTGCCTGGGCGTGGGGGTGTTGGTGTTGGTGTGGTGTTTCCATGGGTAAGTACAGAGATGCAAATTGCCTTTCCAAGGAATATCACTTCCTTCTGGTTCAGAGTTCTTGTGCTAGCTGGTGGGTGTCTGGGACACACTCTTCATAGTTTGTGGAAGGAGTTGGACCCCGGGCCTCTGCCCACCGGCAGAGCATCAGCAGGGAGTTTCAGAGTCCTGCTCGGCAGAAAGGGCTCGAGGCAGTGGGGGAGGGGGTGGACTCTGTCTCCCGTGGCCTGGAGGTGATAGCCGGCCATCTATCTCTGCCTTGACCTGCTGCCTTGTTTGTCCCTCTGCACCATCCTCTTTATACCTTCAGGCATAGATTATCTATTTCACATACTTGCTGAGTAAACAGGTGCTCCCAAAGCCTGTGCTCCCAAGGCTTTTCGATGCAGCAGCTCCAGCATTCACAACTGAACTGGGAAACCTTGGGGAAACCTTGGCTTAAAGCGGTTGCAGGTGACAACCTCAAGGCCTGTAGCTAGTGAGCGGAAGACAGGGTGTGAGCCCAGGTCTGTGTGATTTCAGAACTCCTATTCATGGTGTCCTTTGAGATAGCAGATGGGTAAAATCTAGGCATGTTGTGTACAGGTGAAAGAAATCAGAAAAGATTTAGAACTTCGTAGGCTGGAACGTCAGAAGATAATGTGCAGCCCACAGAGGCTGAGTAGCATACAGTTACTCTGCCCCCGCCTTGTCCACGTTAGGTTGTGACCCTTGGGGGCTCTGAGCCTAGAAGAGCACAGTGTAACCCGTGTGCTGAGGTATCAGTCATTGGGGCATACCTGTGAAGTGGGTTCATGGTGTTTCAGTAACCGCCCCCAGCTGTGTGATGTCGAACCCCACCCCCCCATCTTTCCTGCTGTCGAGACTCACTTGCTGATGTCTTGGCCAGAATACATAACTTGTCAGTCATGGTTAGTTATTAGAACAGTTTTATGTCAGTGCTTATGACTCTTTTGTTTGTTTCTAAACTTTAATTTCAGACTCAAAGCTCTTTTTTCACCCCTGTGCCCCAGGGCAAGTGGGTTTAGAAGATTGAAGAGTGATGAGGGCCTAATGACTTCTTTGCCTCCCCTCCTTCCTTCGCCTGAGCCTCCAGGATGGGACAGAGGAGCAGGCAGAATTCTGCTGAAGTTGCTGCCATTTTCTTGGGTGGCCATAATTGCCACTCTCCCCACGTGGGAATCTCTGCATGCCCCACTAACCATGGACTTGATCCCCTGCTGCTCCCAGGACATTAGGAGCCTTTCTTGAGATTTGCCCGGCAATTCTGGCTCACTCTCAATGGGTAGCATTTATGTTCCATCCCCCCGATTCAGGCCTTCATTGTCCCCACCTAAGGTGGTCTCAGTGAGACCGTAGACCTCAGTCTCATCATCCCTGTATTCTGCACAGTAGAACCGGCAGGAAGGCGTGGACACCATCTTCCACTTGCAGTAGGTGGAACCGTCTTTCTATCACCTGGAAGACCCCACCATACACTTTCTCTCCCAACTCTTTCATCCCCAACTTAGTGGCCAAGAGGCAGGTCTGCCAAGTCTGTGCTGAGTAGATGTCCAATTGGGGACTGGAATGCAGCACCCGACTTGGAGTAATTTTCTTGGTGCCTCCTTTGTCTTCAAGGAGCACAGGGACCCCACCTTCTTGTTCTTCGGTGAGGGGAGGAAATGACCGGTCTCTGTGATCATCAGACATTACAACCCTCCCCCACTCTGATACTTTCTCATCTGGATCTTGGGGTTTTTGTTTTTGTTGTTTTTTTTGTTTTTGTTTGTCCATCGAGGCATTTTATTTGCACATATATATTACATCCTTAGAAAAAGAATCCCAGGATTTTCCCTCCTGTATTTTCATCTTGCTTCTTCCTGGTCCATGATGTCCAGTGAGATGGTCAGTATCATGAAACCAAACTGGTGGGACAGAAGCAGATTATTCTGCCATTTTTCTAGATCTTTAAGTTGCACATCCAATTTGGGGCCATCACTCCACTCTTGTTTAACCTGCGTGTGAGGTTCACAGCCATTTCTCCGGCTCTGTGATCATCAACGATTTGAAATTGGCCAACGCAACCGTGCTTCATCATCAACCGTGTTTGTCAGCTGGACGATGACTTTGGAGCATGGCGCAATAAGAACCTGGCATCTGCCTCTCTCTTCAGCATTGTTAACGTTCTTGAGAACATCTGCCAGGACATTAATGCATGCCATGTGGCAGCACGGAAACATGGCAGGAGTCCTCGAGATCTTCTTACACTGACTCTTGGGGTTGGGCGATGATCATGGTGTTTGGTAGTAAGACTGATTCTGGACTCATGCAGTCTTGTGGGAAGGTAACTGGCCCCAACTTTTGTCAGCTCCTTAAACTTACAAAGCAAGGGTACTTAGAGACTTTTATCCTCAAATGGGCCTTATTTACAATTTGAGGGTTACAGGAAACCTCACTCGACATACTGTTAAATTATAGGAATAGAAGCCATTTGTGGAGAACCCACCATGTATCAGTCGCTGAGCTAAGTGCTGTGTACATGTTGTATATCTTTTTTTAATTCCCTCAGCAACGTTTTGAAATCAATAATCGTACTATCCCCATCGTCTACAGATGAGGAAACTAAGGCCCAGAGAGATTGCAGTTCCACGTGGGAGAAGGGAGGCCCACTTAGGAGTGACTAAGCTACTCACGTCAGTTTCAGAGACCTGGTATTTTCTGCTACTCCCCACTGCCCACACTTCTAACCACCTGCATAATTAACTAGAAAAGCATTATACTGTGTAAAGAAATAATGCAGTTGTAATGCTTTTTGTTTTCCTTTTGAAGACTATTGAGTGCCCCGAGGCTCCTCCTCTGATGAGAACCATCAGCGGTTGGAAAGCCCCATAGGTACTTCTCCGCCCTTTTCCAGTGACTAAAGCAGGGTTTGGAACCCCGGGAGGGTTTAGGTACCTGTCCTTGAAACATCGCAGCAGACCATGCCCTGCCCCAGCCTGCCTGTTAGAGGACCACAGAGAGCTTGGTTCCAGAGTAGATCCCCATGGAGACACTGCTGGTTTGGAGCGCTTCCCCTGGACTAGGCCCTCTTACCCCCTCTGTGTTCCAGAAGGTTGGGCCCATCTGTTTGCTCTTGGAAATCTGTTGGAATCCTGTGAGCTTGGGCCTCACCCTAAGCTGGGTGATGTTCAAGATCCCTTGAACCCCTCCCCAGCACACACTCCACCTGTCATGACTGTCTGTAAACCCGTCCCGTGAGGAAGGATGGCCTTTATCCTTAGGAGTTTTGACAACACCTGGCCCGGAGCCCATCCTCCTATCACGGAGAAGGTCTGGGGATGAGGCATATCCTATTTAGTTTAGCAAACGTTTGCTGGGCACATCCTGTATGCCAGGCATAGGGTCAGTCGTACAGAATGAACTTTAATTTCAATTAGTAGGAGAGTTGTGCTAATGGTACGTTCAAGAGCTGAGCAGTACGTGCACAGTAGTGCCCAAAGAAGGGCAGTGATTAGCTCTCTGAGGTGGTCAGGGGGCTTTACAAGGCAGTGGCATTAACCCCTGGGCTTTACAGGATAAATAGGCATTCACCAGACAGGAAACACAGGTAGAGGGAAATCGAGACAGAAGACGAAGCATGAGTGATATGACAGGAGCAAAGACTAGCTCTTTATCAACCTTGTGGAGTAGAGAGACAGAGGCAGGAAGATCCTTCCAGGCGCCTCCAGGAAGGAGTGTATGCTTTTGGAGTGAAATTGCTTGCTGACTTGATGAGCTCAGACCCGCTTTGGCCAGAAACCTAGATGCTGAGCTTGTCCCCCTTTTATTCTGAGCCAGAGAGCAGAAGGTCTTTCTGGACCGTTAGGAGAAAAGCAGCAGGTTGATTGTTTCCGTTTCCTCCTACCCACATCACCTGTTTGGCAGTGAGTGGGACCGATTGTGTCACTCACCCCCTCGTCCCACTTCCCCGGTCAGGAAGCCTGTGACTGGTTTGGTGAGCAGTACACGGGAGGGCTGCAGGAATCGGGTGGGAAGTTATGTGGTGAATGTCGGTTATGCAGATGGCCGCAGGATCCACGTCCCGAATCAGCTGGGCGAGCCTTTAACAGCCCTGTGGTTTAAGGGAACTGGTTAGGAATTCTGACTCTGCGGTCTGGTCCAAGGTAGCCCTCCCTTTGGCTCCCAATCAGTCTCTTTTTTCCAAAGCAGATTTCTTTGTATTAGAGTATTCCAGTGTTTGTGCCTTTGTAAACCAGGCCTGAGATTTCTTTTAAATAATGTTGCAAGCAGAGAACTCTGTTCTTCCTACCCTTTCCTGCCCAACATCTCCTACCACATCTGTGCAGATTCGTACCAGCCAGGGGGAGCAAAGAAATCAGCCAGTGCCCAAGGGAATTAAGAGTCAAGGCGATACTGAATCCTAATGGAAATGGAAAAATGGTCTGTGCAGTTTATTCATTAGACATGGGCGTGGCCACAAGCAGAGAAATGCAGTCAGGGTTCTCATGCTGGTTTAGATACTAGCTAGCTAGTGTCAATTCTAGCTAGGTCTACGGGTTTGTTTTCTTCTTTTCTTTCTTTCTCTAGAAATCAAGAGAGTAAGGATAGTTGATCAGACACAAAATGATACTCTTTTTCCAAACCTTGGGAAATGTCAGGAGGGAAACATTTTTGTGAGCTGATGGAGTTTTTTAGACTGCCAGTGCAGCGGGCTTACTTAGGAGGCCTCCTAGGACACAGACACATGCCACTTGGAAATGTGGAAAGGATACAATTCTAGCTATTTTGGATACTGTCTGTTATAGACCACCCATGGCATAAACTGTGTGGCTTCCAACCCCAAACAGAGCATTTACCACTCTCTAGTTTTTGTGCTCTGAAAAGAAAATTACAGTCCAGACGTCCACCAACTGGTGAACGGATAAACACGGCGTGGTACATCCATACAGTAGGGTATTACTCAGCAATGCAAAGAAACAAGCCAGTGAGAACTGCTCTAACACGGAGCAACCTTCAAAACGTGCTAAGTTGAAAGAAGCTGCGTGCAAAGGGCTACATGTTACATGGTTCCATTTATAGGGAATGTCTAAAAGAGCCCAACCTTGTAGAAACAGAAAGCAGATTCAACATCACCTGGGAATGGGTTTGGGAGTTGATTGCAGATAAGCATGAGGACCCTTTTCAGGGTGACGTAAATAGCGTAAGATGAGAATTTACTGAAAATCATTCTACACTTTTATGGATGCAAATTACGCCTCAGTAAGGCCGTTTAAAGAACCGGAAGCTCACCATCGACTTTTCTCTAATAGGAGATTATTCACGATTAATTTCCTTCTTGAAGCCTGTCACTGCGACATCAAGCGGGGAGGAGCAGGGAGGATGGACAGCTTCGTAGGCTTCCTTTAGGGGCAGAGCCCGGTGGTGGGTTCTGAGGAGACTAGAGGTAGAGTGGCTATATTTTTGGAAAAGGAGAAGTAGAGTCAGGCAGTGTCCTGGGTGTTTTGTACTCATTTCCCCATTTAATGTTCACTTAAGTCTCCTAACAACCCTGTGTAAAAGGTGCAGTGGGGCCTATGCCCATTTTATTTTATTTTTTTTAATTTTTTTTCAACGTTTATTTATTTATTTTTGGGACAGAGAGACAGAGCATGAACGGGGAGGCAGAGAGAAGAGACACAGAATGGAAACAGGCTCAGGCTCTGAGCCATCAGCCTGTGAGCCTGACGCCTGGCCGGGGTCGAACTCTGAGGATCATGTAGAGATCGTGACCTGGCTGAAGTCGGACGCTTAACCGACTACGCCACCCAGGCGCCCCGCCTATGCCCATTTTAAAGATAAAGAGTGAGGCTCAGAGAGCTTAAGTCTTCCGAAAACTCAGTCTGTACATGAACTGTAGACATTCCAACCCAGGTTTTCCTGGCTCTAGAAAGAAATCCGTGATCTTTGTAATAAAAATGCTCCCTCCTAAGAAGTATATTTGCAGGAGAACTGTGCTCTTTGACAGAACGTTCGAGGGAAAAATGCTGAGATATGAATAGAAAGTGACTTCGCAACCACAGTAGGTAGAGAATATGACAGAGCTGTCTCCATTTGCCCTGGGTTGGGCTGGTCTGTTATGAGGTGCTCATGTGGACATGCCTGCCTCTTGCAAGGGACAAACTATCAGCCCCGGGATGTGCTGAATTTTTAGTTCCTCCCTCCCTCCTTTGTTTTTTCTTCTATGGGTCAAAAAAAAAAAAAAATATTGTGGAATGTTTGGCACATTCCATAATAGAACACTTACAGAAGAATAAAGAATACTTAGATGCCCACCAGCTAGCTTAATAAATAAAACATTAGCCGGTGCACTTTTAAATTTACCACATATGATGGGTATACAAGTAAGCCAAGTTACACAGTGTTGGGAGACTGGGCTTTGTGCTGAAAAAACTAGATTCAAATCGCAAACCCCAGCTCCAGCGTTTATTCCCTTGGAGAGGTCATAAGGTTTTATGAGCCTCTGTTTCTCTTATAAAGGGGAACAATAATATTCACTCCCCAGGTTGTAGGGATTGAGTGAACTCATGTACATAAAGAGCTTAACCTGATACGTACTAATTAGTAGCAGTCCTTGTTATTACAAACCTAATAACGTGACAATTATAAAAGGCACTAAAAGCAAGTCTTACATAGATTTCACCAATCTCCATGATTAGCTCTACCTTCCCCCTCCCTTGAATTTGATTTTGAGGGGAAATTATTTCCCAACTCTCATCAGTGCCCAGCTGGGTGACCACGGGAGTGTCACTTCACCCTCCAGAGCCAACTGATTCATCCCGTCCAAACCTCACATTCTGTGACCCTGATGTGTTTGTAGGAACATTTAGAAGCAGAAACCGAGCAAGCCACAGGGGTGTGTGTGCTGCTTTTTTTGGTTTCCTTAGGATGGAGAAGGGAACAGCACAGAAGGGTTAAAGCTGAACTACTTTCAGAAACGGGGGGCACGGGGGGAGCTCACTCAGATCTATGGGGCTTTCTCCCCATATTGCACGTGTCAGTTTATAAGCCTCCTCCTTGGCCAGATCAATCCTGGCTTACACCTGTGCTGACACAATTAAAAGCTTCCCCCTTTCACTCTCAAAAACTATCATGGATTGCATGGTAAGTTATAAGATGACCTTAGTAAAGCCACGTCTAAGGCATATGGATTGGGACCTGTATGTCAATCTCCTGTAGGATTCTGGGAGCTCCAGTTATTCGTAACCAAGACCAGTGAAGGACTTCATTGTTCGCGGCTTGCTTTCACAGATACGCTCTTACTGGATTCGAGAGCAACCTTGTGTGATGGGGCAAGCTGCGTCCATAAGGCCGGCGAGGCCCAGGGATGAAGTGACTTCCCAGAGTTGCACAGCTAGTACATACTGGAGTCCAGACTGGAACCCACGTCTTTGCATCATCAGTTGCAATCTCTGTGTCTTCAGAGTCTGGCAGTCATTCAGCCTGGACTCATCATCACGCCCAGGGCGCTGGCAGGCACGCAGGGAATGGGCTTGTTTCTGAAAGGACCCCATTCATACCCTCTGCCCAGCAACTGCTGCTGGAGGAAACCTGTGCTCCTTTATCAGTGGTCTCTTCCTCGCCTGGGCCTAACCTGGACACGGGCATTCCCCAAACAGGAGATACTCTTCTTCCTCCACCCCCCTGACCAGTTGAGAGAAGGAAATTGAGCCTTAGGTTGACACAAAGCAGAGGGAGCCCCTAAGATGCCTTCTTCCTGTCCCTCAGGCTGGGTGGCCCTATTACCTCACCCTCAGGATCAATTCAGACCCCAGCCATTGGATCTGGTGTTAAGAGAACATAAAAGGAGGGATTCCCCAAGGAGAAACACCCTCGACCCATAGCTTCTGCCTGTGAATAAATATTTTATTTCTTCTCTGCAGCTTTTTATGCATGCCTTGAGGCAAATGCATTTTAACATCTAAAAAGTCCTGCCTGGAATAAAAATGTTCTCACCCCCACTCTGCTTTCATTTTTTTTTTAATACATTATTTTTTGTGTGCGTTCTCTGTGAAAGCAAGTCCTTTCCCCCACCCGTGCGAAATTAAAGTTAGTGATTCAGTGGATGAGAGGGACACAGAGCCGTGTGTCCGGGGGCAGGGCAGTCGGGAGAGCAGAGGGAGGATGGTGGAGGGGGGCAGGAGCCGCTTGGCACTCACACGTGGCTGACGGCACAGAGCACAGACTTGGCTGAGCTCTCAAGTGGAGACCCATGAATCTCCCCCAGCGCCCGAGAGCACCTCTGTCCCGGATTGGTTGCTTTGCCTGAGAACAAGCACAGTCTTGCTCGGGACTCGGACTTTTTTTGGCTGTGTCCTTGCTGAGAATTCCCTCCTGGCACTTGCCAGACATCCAGCTGAAACTTGCCTGGCGTATCCGCTCTAATCCCAGTGGGGGAGAGGGAGCTAATTTCTTTGTGGCTGAGGCCCGACACTGATCGACGGTGATGGCGATGAAGTGTGCAGGAACTCGGTCCTATCCTCGAGAAGCTAGGCTCGTGAGCAAGAAAGGGCTCCCAGGATGGGACTCCTTCTCTAAAAGAATTTCTTTATTGTCTTGCAGAAATCAGGAATGGCAACCTCAAGGCCATCCTAGGCCTCTTCTTCAGCCTGTCCCGGTACAAACAGCAGCAGCAGCAGCCCCAGAAGCAGCACCTCCCTGCTCCACTGCCGCCTGCCGCGTCCCAGGCGGCCGGGGCCCCCTCCCAGTGCCAGGCTGGCACTCTTCAGCAACAGGTGCCGGCCACTCCCCAAGCCCCGGGCCAGCCTCTCCAGCCAGCGCCACATCAGCAGTCAAAAGCACAAGCTGAAATGCAGTCCAGGTGGGGGCTCCTCGCCAACGGATAATTCTGTTTTTCGTGGGTCATCCTCCACACTGGCCGAATGCTAGCCTAGGCGAATGCCTTTTCGTTTGGGCCTCTTCAGGGCTGAGAACTACTGGTGGCGGGGGATTAGCATGACCTTGAAATAGATGCGGCGGGCTGCCTCCTGTGCCTGGCGGAGATGTGTGCTTTTATAGGTCACGATGGCCAGCGGCCAGAGCTAATTAGCTGCTCTGGCCTATCACGCACATGCTCCTGTGCAAGAAACGGCCCCGAAAATAGACTTCAGACTTGCTTTGCGTGTTTGCCTACAGGCTGGGTATTCGATGTCATACGTGTGAGTCCGTTTTACTTAGCGGAGGCTAGAGTTCTGCAGCAGCCGCCTCTGCTTCACCAGAGAAGAGATAGCAAGAACACAGAAGGAAGATGGCAGATGCCTAGCAAAGAAGTGGGCAGCCGCCTTCCCCGAGAGGGCCCGCATCTGGGTTCTGTTAACCTTAAAGGGCTGGCAGCAGCCTCAGGGGTGGTTCTCAGTGTTACAGGATTAGGGCTCAAGTTTGGTTGATGCTCCCAGGGGGACCGATGCTTGCTAGCGGGACTTGCTGTAGGGTGACGTGTAAGCAGAGCATCAGGGTACTTACGTCCACTGTGTTACAGGGGGCATAGGTGTATTCCTGAACAGCTCTGCAGAAGATCGCCTTGTAAAACCTGCATTTTAATGGCAGGGGCGTGGGGGAAGGAGGGGATTAGGAACTAGAAAGATTTTTTTTAATGTTTGTGTATTTATTTCTAACTTTATTTTGAGAAGAGGGAGAGAAAGCCTGCATGTGTGAGGAGGGGAGGGGCAGAGAGAGAATCCCAAGCAGGCTCTGCCCTATCAGTGAAGAGCCCAATGTGGGGCTCAAACCCACAAACCATGAGATCATGACCTGAGCTGAAGAGTCAGACGCTTCACTGACTGAGCCACCCAGGCACCCCTATTTATTTATTTTTGGGAGAGAGGAAGCAGGGGAGGGGCAGAGAGAGGGGGAGAGAGAGAATCCCAAGCAGGTTCTACACTGTAAGCTCAGAGCCTGATGTGGGACTTGAACTCAGGACCTGTGAGATCTTGACCTGAGCTGAAATCAACAGTCCAGTGCTTAACCAACTGAGCCACCAGCTGCCCCAGGAACTAGAAAGTTTTTGACTCCTAATGAAAAGTGTGTGGAGAAAAGTCCACAGTAATTGTCGTTTAAAGCTGTACACCTTTTGTTATCAAACCTGGATGTCACTAATGAAATTTATTGCTTGATTTCATTTACTATGTGCTAAAGAGTAATGGCTTTTCCTTTCCAGGCCCCCAAAGCACCAGCGTTAATAATCACTAGGCTTAGCAGCCCATTGTAGTTGGGCAAAGCACAGAGTGGTTCACACAAGACAGGTGCCTTATAGATGGTTGCGGCATCTTCCTCCCTGTGAGAAGGGCTATTTCCCATTCATGATGGTGTTAAAACCAACATGATGGATGTGCTGTCCATCAGATCCCCTAATTAATTGTCTAATTATATCCAATTTACATTATGGAAATTTGTAGACTAGCAGAAATGCCTGGACTAGTGGTGAAGAACAGCCAGCCAGGCAGCAAGCCTTGGCACCCCTCCCCTGAAGAACCACCAGAGTGAGAGCCACTCTCTGATCAGAGGTCCCTGATGGCCCTGGGTGATTGAATGATCAGGGTATCATTTCCCACACTATGTTCTACAGAGTGGTTATTCCCTTGATGGTAACTTGCTAGGGAAGGGGTTTCATAGGGGGAAAAGTTGGTAAATAATCTGGGTTGGGTTGTTAGAACTGTTCATACAGACAGGTCTACTCAGATCCTTGCATCTGCTATATGCATTCATTTATTTAGTGTCTGAATGCCTTCTGTGTGCCAGGCACTATTTTAGGCACTTGGGGTTCACGGATGAATGAGATTACCAGTGTGCCCCTCGCTGCCTTCTACTGGAGGAAGAAGGCAAATAAACAGGGAAGAGAAATATCAGATAGTGGTATTACAATAAGATGATGGGATTCAGAAGGATTAGGTTGATAGGTTGGACTGATAGGAAATTCTCTCTGGGGATATGATACCAAAGTGAAGATAGGAATGACACTGAGCAAACCATGTAAAATTTAGGTGTAGAATAGATCAGCCAGAGGAAGCAGCTGGTGCAAAGACCCTGTGGTGTAAGAGTATGCTTGGAAGGTTGGAGGACCAGAAAGAAGGCTGGTGTGGCTGGAGTTTAGTAGGTGAGGGGAGGTGGGAAATGATAAGGTACCTGTAAGCAAAGCCTCTTGTTTCCATGGTAGACAGTGTGACCGATGGCCCCTGGAGTTGCATAGTGCTGTTGGCCATGAGGCCAAGTCACAGAGTGCTAGCTAAACTGGGTAAAGAGTCTGCATTTCATTTTATAGATAACAGGAAGCCACTGGGTTGGGGCGGGGGGCAGTCTTGAGCAAGAGAGAAACTTGATTTAACTGACAGTTAAAAAAAATAATAAGTTATCTCCTCTCTGGAGAGTAAGACTATTAAGAGGCTTTTGTAGTCCTCCGGATGACAGTGGCTTGAACCAAGGGGTGGAGCTGACATGTTGATGGGCCACTTCAGGAGGTTGAGCCAAGGGGACCGAATAGATGGCCTGTCTGGAGTAAGGGAGAGGAATCACAGATACTGCTGGGTTTCGGGCGTGAGCAGCGGTAAATGGCGCTATTTATTGAGACGAGGGAGCCTGAGAGAGGAACACGTGTGCACTGTGACTCTTCAGAAGAGGCTGTAGAAAGCATTCCTCCAGCTCAGCCACGGAACTTGTTTCATAGAGCATCTCACTGCATATACGATTCCAAGGAGCATGTGTTGAGAAACCCTGGGTTGTGTCACTAAGCTGTGCTAGCCTGAGGCACCCATTTCCATGGTAAGTGTTTGTTGTCTTAAA